TTCACTTTGAAAAAATATCGGCACCTGTTTAACGGCACCTGTTTCTGAATATCGAACGAGTAAAACGCAAACACGAAACTTGTAAATAAAATTATTTTTAATAACATATAGCCTAGTTTTATATATGAATAGGGTGTTTGTCAACTGATTGCATGCTGTTGGAGTTTCCAGCTCCATAAAATAGCCTACTGGAAGTGCTGTAGTTTTTCTGTATATAGCTACTAAAGTACATCACACAAATAACATTTTAAGTTACTTCCATTTCTGAACAAAGACAGTAATTAATTCCATAAATACAGGAGCCTGATTTGTTTTAATTGTGAGAATATATTATTAATAACAAATAAAAAAACATTTGCAATCAAGACTGTTAAAAAAAAACAACAACGCCAGAATGAAGACTCTGTTGCTCTCTGGGCAGCCAAGCATAAGAATATTAATGTATTTTTTTTAACCAACAGTAAAAAAATTTAACCGATTAATCGGCTACTTTCGTTTGCTGCATGTTTATAAAAACACACCAAACATAAATTTTACGTTTTTGAAAGGAAAAATCAAAACAAAAAGTCACATCGGCTATAACTCACATTTTATTACATTTAGAAATAATACCGGCAGGCCTATGTTAATGTACCAACATTACAAACACTATAAACATATAGGCTATTTTAGTTCCCCTCACTCCACAACAAATCCTTTAAATTATTTTTACACAACTTATTCAGAACAGACCAAGAATGAAAAAAATATAATTTATTCATTCCTAATGAATAAATATAATATAACTGCAGTATAATATAATAATATAGGCCTGGCTATAAACAAGCCAAAACATATTCATTTAAAGTGAAACTGAAGGTAAAGTTGGGTTCATAGCCTACCTCTCGCTCATTCGGCACCAATCCAAATGCTTCCATATTCGCGATGTATTTGAAGCTAAACTATTATTTATTAGGTAAATTGGGCTTTGTACTTCACGTGTGTTCCAATATCGGCAAGAAAAAAAAAATCATAATGAGCAAAAACGTGCCACAGACTATTTAAATTGACTAGTGTAATTTTTAACATGTTTGGGTGACTGTATTTTATTTTGATAATGAACAGGCTGCGCTGTTTGCAATGAATTTATAGTGTGTGCGTGAGGCGAGATCAAACAGCTGAAGCACAAAACACTCCATCATCTTTGGTCACACAGTAAAGGCATAATTCGAAACAGCAAAGTGCAAAGTGTTAGCAGTTTGAAGATTCAAGAATATTGGCAAAGATTATTAGAATTCTTTATAAAGCGAACACTGTTCCATACTTATTTCGCTCTGGAACCTGAATGAAAAATATTTTTGCTAAGGACGAACCGAAATGAAAACATTTAGCTTTTAATCCATGTATTTGACAGCCCACACACATCAACTCCCCATCCCGTACTTCTGAGTGGGAGATCTTCCCAGAGACTAAAATCAGGGCACCCCCTCCGAAGATGACACCAGAGGTGAGGGGGCACAGAGGTGCCCGGGTCCCCTGAGGCCCCCCGCGGCACCGACACTGACCTGAGTGTCTCCAGATGACAGTGTGGGCTCTTCAGTCCAGCAGAAAGCGCCTTCACTCCCGCCTCGATGCTGTAATTGTGACTCAGGTCCAGTTCGCTCATAGGACAGTCCTCTAGCTGAAGAGCCGAAGCCACCGTTTCACAGCACTGCTCTGTCAGTCCACAGTCTGAAAACCTGGCAAGATGGCAAGATGTTAGCTAGTCATGAAGAGCTTACCTCTACACCGTTTCAAAAAAATAGATCCCAATAAAGCTACATAAAAAAGAAACAATGTAATTAATACACTGCACAAAAAAATGCTGGAAATGTATAAAAAGCCTAAATGAGTTTACAGTATCATACCTGTACATTAGTTCAATAACTTAATAATTACATAGAAAACCTAAACTTAGAAAATCTTAAAGGAACAATGTATTTGAATGCTACGCTTGACAAAATTGTAGTAAATTAAAAAAACATGGAAAGAAAGAAGAGTACACAAAGGCTTACACTGCGTTTCTGCAGCATCACTGTCACACAAAATGGATCAAAATAGTAAAAAAAAACCTTTTAATTTCATTCATAAAGTTGTATTAATTCAATTGATTAAACATGCTTTCTGATTACTCAAATTGAATTAAAATGGAATCATGAAAAATTAAATTAGAAAACATTAATTGGGGAAGAAAAACGGAATATGTTGAAAGAAGTTGAAGGGGAAAACAAAATTTTGAAAACAGAATTTGGAGGAAAACAAACAGCATTTTGGGGAAAATATGATCAAAAATAATATGTTGAAAAAAATAAAAAGTACATTTTGGAAAAAGTAAAACAGAATATGCTATTCTGTGGGGGGTGAGTAAAGCGAAACAACAATAAAAAAATTAGGGGGAACATTTTGGGGGGGGGGGGATCAGAAAAAAATCAGTTTTCACTTGAATCTACATACAGGGCTTTTCTGCAGCATCTCACGGCTGGGACGAGTCTCCTGCATCCCGCATATGTTTTGTTGAACATCTTGGGGTCGAAGTCATGCAGCACCTCGCCTGACATCAGAAGCACATACACCAGCGCTGAGCAGTTGGAGTTGGACACCGCTTTCGGCTGGCCGCTCTCTGACTTCAGATATTTCATGATTTGTTGGTACAGGGTTCTGTCCTGCAGCTCCAGGATGCAGAAGAAGTGGTTGATGGATTTATCCGGGCACTTGTCATTGTTTTGCAGTTGCTTGATGTACTGGATGGTTTTATTGATGCAGTTTTTATTGACATGTTAAACAGTGTCGCCAAGTTTTGCTAAAGAAATAAGCAACCTGGTCTGAAAAATTACGTTCCAAAATAAGTGACCCATGGTGAATTTGAAGAAAAAAATAATACAACCAAAAAAAAAAACCAAATAATTTAAATAAAACCAAGTTTTGAAAAAACTAAAAATGTATACGGGTAAAAAAAAGTAAACCTGTGACTGCCGAAATGTGACCCTGGAGCACAAAACCAGTCATAAGGGTCAATTTTTCGAAATTGAGATTTATACATCATCTGAAAGTTGAATAAATAATCTCTCCACTGATGTATGGTTTGTTAGGATAGGACAATATTTGGCTGAGATACAACTATTTGAAAATCTGGAATCTGAGGGTGCAAAAAAAAAATCTAAATATTGAGAAAATCATCTTTAAAGTTGTCCTAATGAAGTTCTATGCAATGCATATTACTAATCAAAAAATAAGTTTTGATATATTTACGGTAGGAAATTTACAAAATATCTTCATGGAACATGATCTTTACTTAATATCCTAATGATTTTAGGCATAAAAGAAAAATCAATAATTTTGACCCATACAATGTATTGTTGGCTATTGCTAGAAATATACCCCAGCGACTTAAGACTGCTTTTGTGCTCCAGAGTCACAAATCTGTAAGCAAATTTAAAAAACAAAGCGCAGAGTGGCTGATAATGAGCAAACTTGGCAACTCTGATGCCAAGCATACTACAGTGCTATGAGCTTACCGACAGCACCAGTGGCTGAGCTGAAGCTGATGATTACTGAGCCTTGGATGACGTTTCCAGTGAGTACAGGAGCGTTTACAGTTGCACCTGTTTGAGCATTCAGATCAACGCAGACTGAAGTGTGAGAGGGGCTGATCGTCTGCATCGACCCATCTGCCTTCTCCAGTTCATCAGCCTTAACTGCACTTTTTTGTCTCTTTGGTTTGTCATTGTCCAGCTCACCCACTGCTTCCTGAAGCGGCTCTGGAACCAACGCCATCTTGTCTACCTTGGTCTTGTGTCCACCTTATATTTCAATGCGGAAGTAAGCTGTTTTCTGCTAATGTGCGAGACCTTCGGTTCATTAGCCGCTTGTAGGGAAACGAGAAGAATAACAAAGTGCAGCAAACAGTTTGCACTACAAACCAGTGTCTCCATAATTAAGATACAGATCTTCTTTATGCACCAAGAGCTTGTAACACTCCAAAGAGAAAGGAACAATTGAAATCGCATCATATGACCCCTTTAAAATAATATGGAAAGACACTCCAGTTTGCAATATCAAGCAGCAAGAGCTGTTTTGAACAGCTAAAAATAGCTGGAAGTGGAAGTGACCAGAAGCCAGACACATTGAGTTTAGGCCGCACCCGCACTTATGGGAAAACAATTCCCTTACGAAAATTAACCATGGTTTTACTACAGATAAAACAAAACAAAACATGGTTACTATAGTTAAACCATGGTAACCACAAATTAACCATGGTCTTGCTAAACTAACCATGGTATTTGTAGTTATACAACTGGTAATCAATATGCCAAAAAAAACATGGTTACTACTCTTTTACTATAATAAAACCATGGTTAATTTTCAAAAGGGAAGGTGGATAAGATCAGACGAGAGGAGATATATGACAAGTTGGGTTTGACTTAAACCAATTTCATATTTTTATATCTGATAAACTCATGTAGTATGCACTTTTAACAATCCCATACACAACCAGACCTGATCCTTACCTTCTATTGAGTAGCTACAAATATAAAGCTATAAGAATGAGAATAGAAGCAGTTTTGCTAATGTTATTTTTACATGCATTGTACTCAGGACTTCGGCTTATGCAAACATGCTCATAATCATGCAGACAGAAAGCCCAAAGGCTCATCTACATGCCCACCAAGAACGATACATATAATCATAACTATATTAACGTCGACACCAACCATTGTTTATTCTCAGCGAGCTTCCGTTGAGTTGTGAGAACAGAGCGCGCTTTATGTAACTCTACATGGTTATCGTTCTTGTAACTGGCCGTGAACGGTTCAATTCACGGGAAAATGAGATTAGAAAACCAAACGCATGCAAAAAAAAAATATTGGGGACACGACAAACAGTTAATTAATTATTTAATATATACGTATTTACAGTTTATTAAATCTATGTATTACGTTTAATCATTTTAAACGTGTGGCATAACGCTGGATGGATGCAAAGAATAGTTGATTTGCATCAAAGTCGAAAAGGCTTCGGTTCTAAGCATTGCAAGATATCTAGAACATGGTCGGCTTTCACATGCATTAGCGATAAAAGTTACATGCAAGTTGGGAAATATTAAACGCGCGGTACGTTACCTGTCCTGCAGCTCTCTGTTGCCTCCGTTAGTTTCACTTTAATCGTTTCCTCCCACCAGCCTCAGCGATCCGAGAAGGGTGTGGCTGCTGCTTGGCGCTTGCACTCTCAGACTTGCACTCTCAGACTTGTACTCTAAGACACTTGCACTTCCGCTAGCGAGCAAAGGAAATCCGCGCGCGAGCGGAGAGATTTGCGCTCGCGCATTGTATTAATGTGCTTTCGCGCTACAATAATGCGCTCTCGACATTTGTCATTAAAATAACGCCATACAAGTGACGTCGCTAGCGGAAGTGCAAGTGTCTGAGAGTGCAAGCCTGAGAATGCACGTCTGAGAGTGCAAGCACCAGCTGCAGCCACACCCTTTTGAGTGATCCCGACAAGAGCTGCGCTTTTGCTTTCGACCTGAAGGGGGCGCCGATATTCGATCGTCATGTTGTTTGGGCGAGCAGCGAAAATAGCCAAATATTAAGTGCATTAAACTGTGCATGTGCACTGAGCAGGAATATTAAATACAATTTCCAATAGTTTTTTTTTTTTTGCACGTTTCTGGGATGAATTGTGAGACTGTAGAGCAATAATAATAATAGATCTACTGAATTAAGGCTACTCATCAATAAACACTCATCACTAAATAGTGCCATATTTTGCTATGGATATTTCCTGACCCCATCACTTCAACTGAATAACTTCCCTTGAAATATTAAACAGTTCTGCTTCATTCACATTTGCACATTTTTAAAGGTTGGCGAAATGGGAACCGTTTATATGCATGTGATTACTGACTACAGCAATATCTTAATCAGTCTAAATTATGAAGATGTAAGAATTTATAATGTGAGATTTTATACTATATGGGTCAAAGACGAAAAAGGGTTTAAACATAAAAACTATAAGTGTAATACTGCTTTAAATTGTTGTTGTTTTTCCCCCAAAAAATGTAAAACGTTTTCTGTTTAATTTAATTGCAATTTTGTTTTTGTTTTTCTGAGCAAAAGATAAATATCATACATTTTCCCCTGATTTACAGAAGACACCCACTAAAATGTAATTCAGTGTCATATTATTGTAAAATCATTGTAAAAACCAGAAAAGATGTTGAGACTGGGAGAGCGTAGATAACAGCAACTATCTCATGAATATTAATTAGCTCACACTGACATTTCAGCCTGTCACAATACTTTTCATTCTGATTTTAATTTGAACTTTTATTAATGTTCCACGACATTTCTTTTCTCCACTCATTTAATTCTTCACTATGCACTGTAATACTAAAGGACTTGTGGGTATGAATAAATAACAGACAATCAGAAATGTAACCAACCAAATATCTTACGTCTCCAATGAAATTTAACACCAGGGCCACAGATTTCAATCACAAAGCAACTGAGATGCAGTCTTGGTTCGGTGTGATTCAGTCTGGTCTCCATGAATGTCCTCAGTCTTTCATGGTCTAACAGTTGTGTAGTCGCATGTCTCCTGCCCGTCAGAAGTCCTGTCTGAATGATGTGCTGCTGTAAACTTGATGCTGGAGTAGTTGAGATCGTCCGACGGGCTGCTGGGTAATTGTGCTAGAGCATAAACAGAGGCGTCATGTTCAGCAAATGCTGGAAGGACCAGACTATAGTCAGGATGATCAAGAGTGCTACTGATGTCTTCATAATCGCAGTCCGCCTGAAGAGAAGAAAAAACACCAGAGTTAGAACAAATGGATAAAGAGTGGAAAAGATGATCAGAATCCACAAACGAGTGATTGCA